TCATTCAGATATATGCACCAACAACCAGAGCCAAAGAAGAAATAGATGATTTCTACCAACTTTTACAGTTGGAGATTGATCGAACATGCAATCAAGATGCTTTGATAACAATGGGTGACTGGAATGCAAAAGTTGGGAACAGAGAAGAAGAATCAGTAGTTAGAAAACATGGACTTGGTGAAAGAAATGAAGCTGGAGATAGAATGATTGAATTTTGCACAATCAATGACATTTTAATAGATTTGAAAATAATTTCTAAACCACAAGCCCTGTCAGGAGAAGCCGTTCTTGGGAGAAGGACATCACACTTGGAAAAGTAGGTTAGTGAACGAGAAGAAGCCCCTTGACAAGGTGAATTGACCCAGTGACTGCAATATGGGTTTAAGCACTGCAGAGATTATGGTGATGCTACAGGGTCCAGCAGGGATTCATTCTATTGTACTCAGTGGTAACTATGAGCCAGAGTCAACTTCATGCTCCTAACAAGCTAATTGATGGGACCTGTCAAATTTTCAGCCATTCAGAAGTCTCTATCATTGGTTACCTTTATCAAGAATGAAATTGTCTTTTACCAAGAACTAATTTTTGTGCAAAGGTTTTATTTTAAGCTGTCTTATTTAAATGCTCAGTTACTGGAAGGTATAAATGTGATTAGAGAACTCTGGTGGTATCATAGTTAGCAGTTGTGCTGCTAACCCACAGGTGCCATTTTTCTGTTCAAATCCACCGGCAGCTCCACAGGAGAAAGATGGGTAATCTCCGATGCGGTCTCTGGAAAACCACAGCAGGGTCAGCTATGCGTCGATTCAAGTAGTTGGCAATGAGTTTTGAGAGCTTTCTGACACAGAATTCTGACGCAGAGAAGAGTACACGGTTCATTGAGTAGAGGTGTGAGAGGAAGCTGTAATCCCTACCTACGTGGGTGGGTCGGTCCACTCTTTCAGGTTAATGACACTGGGCCGGTCACTTGAATTCCCTGCAGTATTTCTTCTGCTGAATGGGCGGGCTACCCCACTTGATTTGTCAGGTCTGGGCTATCTATGGTTGGATTTTTATAAACATCTTCAGGGGCACAAAAAAAAAAGAGTAAAAGGGAGGCGCTGTTTAAAAGGGCAAGAGGTGAGCCAGTTACCAGTGACAGAGATGTGGAGGAAATAACAGCCCACAACCTGGCTGCAGGAAAGCCAGTCGACA